CCCCCCCCCTCTTTGCCACTCAACCATTTTCGAGATATTCACCGTTTTAAAATTTGTTACTCAGATCGATAATGAACTGTTATTGCTCGCTTTTTTCTAAATAAATTTGATATATTCTAGAAGTTGCCAAATATTATGGATTATACATTGCAGTTAAAGTATGTAAATAATTAAAGCACTTCTGTAACAATATTTTATAAGTGAAATTTATTGTTTGGCTGATGTTTTTAACAGATTTGAGATTCGTAATATTTGCTGGATTCTATTTTGGTCAATGACTTGGAAAAAAAATCAGATATCCAACTGTTTAAACACTTTCAAAAGATGTATGTGTAACCACCTTAGATCATCAAGCATTAATTCCCAACTTGAACCATTAAGGTACGATCATTCCGCATTTCGACATACTAACTTAGCCATAGTTGTCTCGCAGTTTTGGCGCTCCTCGGAGCCCTCTCTGCCATGTGCATTCACCAAATATTGCTGTTCTGGGTTTTTTGTAAATAAAGATAAGTAAAGTACTTTCACGAGCAAATTAACTTTAGTAAGGTATGCTTTTGATTGTACACACCAATGAAAGTAATTGTGTTTTCTGCCGTTGCCGTTATCGGTTGCCAAAGTCTGTTGCTTATGTAGGCGGGTGCACGTTGACTACGCCTTAATCGACTGCTATTAGTCAGCAACCTTGATTTCAGCAAAGATACTAGTGTGGATAATGTAGATCGTTAGGTTCTCATGGATACGCAGAGCGTAACATGTGGTTTTAAGTTATAACTTTGCTCAAATAAGCATAACAGATAATGACGACAATCAGCATAAAATCTGCAGTTGACAATCACTTCGAATCTGTCTATTGCCCGACGCAGCTACACGTAGTTTCTCCTTTCGTAAACACTCGGCGTTTTTTACCGAAGATATATTAGGGTTCAACGAACCGGTAGCAATTCGTTTTTTTTTCTTTTATATCTTTGACCTTAAATTTCACAATGTTTTTCCATTAGTTTATTTCATCTTCTCTAATATTTTTTCACCTGTGCCTATATCTTCACTCGTGTCCTGTTGATTATTTGCACTTGTCTTTACCTAATCCTTTTTTCTTAGCCTTATCTTATTATTTTTATTACCCATAGCCTATCAAGATATAATAATTAAATAGAACTTTGTTTTATTTTTCTGTCTAAGTTTACTTTAATTTGTCCAAGGTCACGGCAATTAAGCTATCCTCACTCGTGTCCTGTTGATTATTTGCACTTGTCTTTACCTAATCCTTTTTTCTTAGCCTTATCTTATTATTTTTATTACCCATAGCCTATCAAGATATAATAATTAAATAGAACTTTGTTTTATTTTTCTGTCTAAGTTTACTTTAATTTGTCCAAGGTCACGGCAATTAAGCTATCCTCACTCGTGTCCTGTTGATTATTTGCACTTGTCTTTACCTAATCCTTTTTTCTTAGCCTTATCTTATTATTTTTATTACCCATAGCCTATCAAGATATAATAATTAAATAGAACTTTGTTTTATTTTTCTGTCTAAGTTTACTTTAATTTGTCCAAGGTCACGGCAATTAAGCTATCCTCACTCGTGTCCTGTTGATTATTTGCACTTGTCTTTACCTAATCCTTTTTTCTTAGCCTTATCTTATTATTTTTATTACCCATAGCCTATCAAGATATAATAATTAAATAGAACTTTGTTTTATTTTTCTGTCTAAGTTTACTTTAATTTGTCCAAGGTCACGGCAATTAAGCTAACTGATTGTGTTTTCTTATAATGAAGTAATCGTCCAGTAGGGATAGCTGAGGTGAAACGTGCAAGGTAATCAATAATATTTAATAAGTTGAGACAAAGGATTGAGCACGGTAAAGGTCAGTTCGACAACAAACAAAGGTCTTCTGTTTTGTGGCGTTGAAGTTTGCCGGGCTTTCAGACCATTATATCTTGACAGATTATATATCACCTTGGAACTATGATTAAATTTTTTTACCAAAACCATTCCTCTTTACTTTCTTTGCTATATATAGGTAATTTCCTGCGTTGTTTAAATTCCTGTCCCAGCCATGCCGTCGACAAGAAACGAGGAAGAAAATTACTACTGCTTTCTAAAAATTATGAATGTTGCTGTGTGTGATGGTCTCCGGGAAATATTCAAACAGGAATGGGACAAACAGTATGGCACAACAAGAAGCGTGTGGGATGATACTTGTATATCTGGTAATGCGTTGTATAACATGGAGAAACCAAGGTTGCGTGCTAAAGCATACCTAAATTTGTATCAATCTGGGGAAAGAAGTGGATGGGATATCTCTGCTTTGGCAGATGCCATTTTGTTTTCTAATGCACTTAGGATGCATTTGGCACCACATGTTTCGAACAACGTCGATGAATTGAGAGTCCTCCGAAATCATCTTAATCATAAATTTGCATCGCAACATAAAATGCCCGATGCTGCTTTTAACAATGCTTACAAGAAAGTTAACAATTGTTTCAAAGCGTTAAAGTTATCTACAGTAAATGTTGAAAAAATTAGAAATTCTTCAAGGGGGAATTACCATGCCATTCATTTAAGGAAGATCATCTGCATTTCCTTGACAATTTTAATTGGTGTAGTCTGTTATTTGGTTGCAAATACGTCCGAAGCAAAAACAATTTTCAGCGTCCTTCCAACCAGACCAGTTCACTTAGTTGCCAACCGAAGTCGAACTGTTGATGCAATTCTCAAAGAATTGCACAATCTATCTATCAGAAATAATCGTGCGTTGTCCTATTTGTACATCTCTGGCAATCCTGGAAGTGGCAAATCTCAGCTTGCTAGGTTAGTTGGTCAGCGTTATGGTACAAATGTTCCAGTAGGTTGGTTTCGTTCCAGTACGAAGGTTTTTGTCATGACACTAAGTGGAAGATCATTACATGATATCTTGGAATCGTATGCTGATTTCGCGCGTCGCGTGGATTGCAATGAAAATAACATAGCAAGCATCATAAACTCAAACAAAACAAATACAACAACGAAAATAAAAAGTCTTAGAACAGAAATTGCTAAAGCGTTGAGGGATTTCGAAAGCAAATACACCTGGTTGTTAATTGTCGATAATGTGATTAAGCTGAATGAAATATCTGCATTTTTTCCTGAAGATTGGCAAGGCGGCCAGGTGTTAATTACCACACAAGACATGTCATCTGTGCCATCAAACAGTTCCTTGACTGTCCATCTTTCAGTCAGCCAAGGTATGGATCCAGAAGAATCATGTGAGTTTCTTACAGATCTATCTGGGCTTGCTGAAAATCAAGATTTAGTAGGCAACGTTGCAAAAGAATTGGATTATCAACCTCTTGCCTTGGCCTCTGCCGGATTTTACGTCAAGCAAGTTCGAGAAAGCAAAGCATCGCCACAGTTTACTTGGAAGGATTATTTAAAAAAACTAGATGAAGGAAAGCGGGAGCTAACTGAGATGAAACTAACGAAAGTAAATATGCCAGCGTATTCGTTGACCATGTCGACAGCTGTTCTTTTGGCCGTCAAGATGTCTGCAGAAAGCGATCCAGTTCTGAAACACACGTTTACGTTTCTTTCCTATGTTTCCAATGAAGCTCAGTCACTAAAAGTTGTCGTCAGCTATGTTCTTCGTGTTGATAAAGAAAAAGATAGAGAGGATGTGGCGCTTACAATACGACAATGTTCTTTGATCCTTCATTCAGACGAACAAAAAGTCGTTTCAATTTCACTGCATCGTGTCGTACACGACAGTATCCAGTTGTATATTATCCATGGTGCTAATGGGAACGCTAAATCGCGTGTACCGTTATACGTCTTTCAATCGCTTCTCCAACAAAAATGTGCACTTGGCGAAATTGCTCTAATTCCTCATCTAAAAGCATTTTATGCAAGAACAAAGAACATTTCTTCAGAAGTGATGGTGCTGAGTTCAATGAAAATTAAAATGAAACAGAGAATGCAAAAACAGATTTTTGATATGACTTCAGTTCTGATTCAACATGGGGAATTTTTATTATCAAAGAACTATCTAAATTTAGCTTTGAAAATGACAGCGAACGGAGACAATAAAGGTAATGGTGACCTTAAAGAGAGTTTACACGTCTTATTTCCAAAAATTGGCGAGATCTACAACAACCTAGGTACTGTAGAAAATGTCCTGGGAAACACCAAGCAAGCAAGAAAATATTTGAAAGAGGCTCTCAAAATATTATTGATACAACATGGGCCCTCTCATAAAAGTGTTTCAACATGTTTGACCAATCTCGCGAATCTTCCCCACTCTAGCCCGGAAGAGTGTGATAAAAATGTAATGTACTCCGAACTAGCGCTTGACATAGATGACAGTTTAGAAACCAAGGCCATACACTACAGCAATCTTGGAAGAAAACACTATGCTGAAGGTAAATTGGATCAAGCTGTAAAAGATTACTTACGAGCCTATGAGATTTTTTTAAAAACATTGCATGTACCAGGCACCAACCTTAAACTCGCCCTTATGCGGTTGGCGTTACTGGACTCGAACTTCGGAGCAATATTTTATCTTAAAAGGAACTATGGTCTCAGTCGAAAATATTTAACGTTATCTGTCGATATATTTCGAAAAATGACAGCAACAAATCACCTTAATCTTGCTAATTCATATTACAATTTGGGTCTTGTTCATTATGAATTAAATGACCTACCAGATGCCGAGGTTTGTTTTAGACGTGCCCTTGAAATCTACTCAAAACAATTGCAATCTTCTGATAAGAGGATGGCCAGAGCTTCACAAAATCTTGCACGTGTACTCGAAGAAACAGGTCAGCTACACGAAGCAAAGATGTTAGATAAACAATATGGACGAACATGTCGTAGGCAGAAACTGGCTGGTACCCTATCGACTTAAAATTTACTCTAAAATTTGGTTTGGTTTTGCAATAAAATCAATTAATTCATATGGTCAGAAAGATTTGTATAACGTTTCTTATAAGTTATCATTAATTGTATTTTGCGGTTTCATATTAATTAACCTAGGTCCTAGCTATATTTGTTTGCTCTAACCGTATTGCTTGATTCCTATGCATGCAAGTCGGATGTTCAAGGTGTGCATGTGCTAAATGTGCAGATTAATCATATATCAAATTATTTATAAAGTCAAACATCGATTAAATATGTTAACTGAATGTATTGTAGAATTTTTACACAAGTGAATAATTATAAGCAATTCGACGTGGTGATTGGTAAAATTTGACGTGATATTCCCTTTTAGTATTTTTGCACAAGTGAACATGATGAATCCTACGTACCTTCATTGGTCAAATTTGACGTAATAATAATTTGGCGTAATAATTTTTGCGGAAGTTTACTGAAAAGAAATAAGCGAACTTAAAATAAATTCAGTCTCAAAAAACACTAAAGCTTATGTAAAAATACTAAAACAATTATTCGCCTCAGGCTCGGTAATTATCGGGGATTATTATATATCAATAGTCAAAGTCGCATTTTTCTAGTGTTTTATTGGTTGAGAGCATATCACGTCTCCCTCGCAACAGCGCGAGAGGGTGATAATACGTTATCGACCGGCGAATAACAAAAAAAATCACGTGCGCCATCACGTGAAGATGCGACCTTTGGACATGCCTAGTACGTAATTAAAACTTTCGCTTTAAGTAACTGCAGTGTAGCCAGTGTTTAATTTCACGTTTTAACATAATAAAATATTTCATGTATTTACGTTCATTTATTCTTTAATTTGTTGTTTCTTTGACTATTGATATATAATAAAATACTTATTTACTGAGACCTCGGGAAAGCAGTGTGTTTTGTGGACCCTCGGCCTCGAGCGTCGATGACACATCGACGGTCTCAGGTCCACAAAACACACTGTTTCCCTCGGTCTCAGTAAATAAGCGATAAATATTCACCTCGACTTCGTCTCGGGGAATATTCCCCGATAATCACCGAGCCTGAGGCGAATAATTGTTAAATACTATATTCACAGGTGAATATAACAGCAAACACTTGTTTACAAAATGGCGACTAGTTAAAGCCGTTTTGTGGAAAACACGGATAAAAAATAAGCGAAATTTAAATAAATTTCAAAAACTTATTAATAATTCATGAAGCAATTATCCAGGCCCTATCCAATCTTGAGTAAGAAATTAGTCGCGTGCATACGTCTTTATACCAGCTAAGGAACACTTTAACAAAAGACCATTGTCATGCAAACTATATAAAGATTTTATATAAAGATTTTTATATAAAGATTTTTATATAAAGATTTTTATATAAAGATTTTTATATAAAGATTTTTATATAAAGATTTTTATATAAAGATTTTTATATAAAGATTTTTATATAAAGATTTGACTTATTATGCAAACATTTTTGAAGCCATTTAAAAAACTCGCAGGTCGTGTTTTATTAGGTCTAATGGCTTTAAACCTAATAAAACACTCCTGCTCGTTTTTTAAATAGTGCTACGCGCTCGTGGCTTTAAACGTAATAAAACACTCCTGCTCGTTTTTTAAATAGTACATATACAGTTCCAAAACGACACAAAAGACTTGTGTTAAAAATATTGAAACAACTTATTCGCCTCAAGCTCGGCGATTATCGGGGAATATTTTCCTTGAATTCGTCTCGGTGAATATTTAACAATTATTATTTATTATTGCGAATAATTGGTTTAATTAGTATACATTTTTAATGAATAATTGACAATTATAGACAACGAAGCCCAGTTGTCTATGAGGTGAAGCCGAGTTGACTATTTGCTCAGAGACAACGAGGCTGAGTTGTCCAATTGTATCAGTATAACTGAACCACATAAAGAAAAAGGAATTTTTCACTTGATTTTATGTGAAATAATATCTTTTTAATGAAATGAGCGTGTAAGAGAGCGATCCACTGGACATCTGTTCGTAAAATATTTGACCTTCAAACTTTGTGGTTAAAAACTTCTTCATACGACATTAATACGATGCTTACACATTTTGCTATATCTTTCGATACGGCCTTTTTTCTCGCCGAATTAAAATTGGCATTTCCGGTCGCTGAAAATTTGGCAATATTTAGGTAAGTTCATAAGACTCCTAAGGACACTACAAAACTCCAATTGTTTACATTACGGACTTGACAGCCTCTTTAATGTAAAAAAAATCTTTCAAATACAGCCTAAAACTCGCTTTCCAACTAAGCCAAAATATTCCGTTTTTAATGGCAATATCTCAAAAGTTAGAAGCAGTGAAGAAACTGACATACCACTGAAGTTTAGCTTGTGTGCCATGTTAAGAGCCTCTTTAAAAAAATGTTGCGGTATTTTCCAGTATTTTGTGCGACAGCCCTTGAAACATTGCCAAATTACGAAATTTACATGAAATTTTGACATTTCCTTTTTATGTGATAAAAACATTTTATACCTTTTATAAGCACATCTTATAGAAATCTACATACATCCTAACAAATGTTCATCTGATCATTGCAATGCAAGGGAGCACGCCAGAACTATTTGTGTAAATTTATACTAACCTTTTAATTACATGTAAATGTTTTCATCGGGCGCCATTTTGAATGTTGAAAGCGGTATATATTATTAGCTTATCGCAGGCGCGATAATTTATGTTCATCTTTGACATTAATTTATGTTATACGATGATATACCGAAGGGCGACCGAGAAAGATCCGAAATTTAAAGTACGGCAGAGAAAAATATAAAATAAAGAGGGGAGTGAAACGACCGAACACGTGATGGGGTATTGGCCAATGACAATGCTTACATCCATTTTCGTTATCCGGCCATGCTAGCTCATTGATCAAGAACTGTCAACTCTATATCGATCAAAACTTGAATTGATTTGCATCGTTGCTCGCCAGCAGTGAATTTTCGACAGCAGAGAAACAAAAACATTTGCGAATGCTGGACACAAAGTATAGTATTAATAATTCATAAACAAAATTCAAAAGAAATGAATGTTTAATCAATGTTTGTAAATCGATCGGATAAAAGATTTGTAATTGTCCTCATTTACATAAACTTCAGCTTCGATTTTCTCGGCTTAGACAATGTTTATTTTTAAAATTTGATTACCCTTGAATTTCAAAGGGGCGATTTGCTTTTCGGTTTGGGATTTACTGTTTAACTGCAAATGTTGCTGCTCCAATTTCTCCGCTCTAAATAGCATTTGAACATGGCGAACACTTCATATACCATTGAAGGGTTTGACGGTGTAGCAGCAGACTGACACTCGACTGACTTTGTGCACTATCAATCGCGGTGTCGTTGTAGGTGATATCTGGATCTGTCATGGTTATTGTTTGGAACGTTTGTACGGACTTGCAAGCGTGAATGGTGAAGACCTGAATGTGCTTGCCCAAGTGAGCGTATATGTCTAGCATCGAAAAATATAATTTCATACGAAGCTTGACAGGTTCACATGATTCCGAAACTTCATCTGCCTAGAAAATCAAAATAACACTGTTTATTGTTTCAGATCTTCCTTATCTGAAGAAATATTACAAAACAATAATGCATTCCAAGATATTCAAAAACTAAATAACTATTTGTAGTATATATTTTTCCACAAGTGAATATAACAAATATCCTACAAGTTCATTGGTCAAATGTGACGTATTAACTGCAAACCGAAATTTGCAAAATGGGGCCAGCCGTTTTGTGGAAGTTACTATAGCTGATAAACAAATAAGCGAAATTAAAAGAAACCAGACACAGTAGTGACAGTACTAAAATGTGGTGCCCACCTACAAATAAAACTTTCGGCGTTTCCGTATGCGTGCACAGCCAACAAGTAAAGTTATATTTATAATTAGCACGCTACACATTCTACTGTCGGCCGCCATTTGGTACGTACGTTAGTATCAAAACTGCGTTTTAATTTAAAGCCTTCAAAATAAAATATTTTGAGTTCAAAATACTATCAAAACGAGGAGAAAAGTGAGACGAATCCACTGGCATACGGTCGAAAACGAGAAAACCAACAATTCCGAAGTTATCAAGGATCAAACGGACTGCGTTTTTAATTAGTTTAATAATTTTGCGCGATTTGTCAACAATACAATTTCGTATGTTTGCATGGTGATAAAATATAATAGGTTTTGTTTGTGGAAACACCACGTAAATTTATTACTGCAAAGCTTTTGATCCGTAAGCCCGGATCTTCATCAGTGCTAATAATATGTTATTACATATTATTAGCACTGATGAAGATCCGGGCTTACGGATCGAAAACTTTGCAGTAATAAATTTACGTGGTGTTTCCACAAACAAAACCTATTAATACAATTTCGTTTATTAAAACTGCGCATTAAAACCTTCAAAATATAATATTTTGGGCTCAAACTACTAACAAAGCAAGACGCTCTACGGAGGGTTAACTCGCTGGGGCTCTACTAGACTTGGTTGAAGTCTGTCTCAGGAGAAAAGTGGGGAGAGACGGACTTGGGACATTTGCGCGAAAATTTGATGTTGTTCTCAACTCGCAAGCCACGCCTCCGTAGGAAAAATCCGCGCGCTTGCAGGGTATCCAAGTCCGTCTCTCCCTACTTACTTTTCTCTCATATTATCGCACCTTTTTTGACCGCTCGGGTGCATCGCTATTTTCAACCCCTTGAGAAACGGACTTAAACCCGAGTCTAGGACTATACAAATACGCATATTACTGTACATGCTATTTCAATTAGTACACAGTACACATCTATTTCTATTAAGATTTTTGCCGAGTTAAGCGAAGAAGTCGAACACCGGCGCGAAAGGCTTCTATTTAAAAAAAAAACAGGAAAACCCCCGATCCAGGGTACCGCCAGCTGGTCCGTACGCTAGCATTTAATAAACTGCGCTTCAAAATAAAATATTTGGGGGTCTTTTGGGCTCAAAATACTATCAAAATGAAGAGAGAAGTGAGACGAAAATACAAGTTTTCCAGCTGATTCGAACAGTAGTA